ATCGGGTATGGGAAATTCGAAAATAGCTTCGTTCTTCCTGAATTTCGTGTATTTTTTGATAGGCAAAAAAACAGAAGGAATATGTGTCCAGTTTTTAGGTAATCAGGAACATGATCCTTGATCGTAAGCTTCCGCAACGATGGACTGGGCGCTGTGGTCATGTGGCGTGGCCACCTCGGTCACACGATCTCAGTCCAATGGACTTTTATTGCTAAACCCATAAAATTATTAGTACAACTGTTGTAGTGTAAGAAATACACGTCGTATCTTAGGGTCTGAGAAAAACGTCAAAATTAGCCTGCTTTGCTTCCACACTCACAGAGGTCTGTTTCAACACTCTTTATAATTTAATACTCCCTAAACGTAAAACTTAAAAACGTAAATAATAATTCCAAATATTTCGAATTTTCACCACCAAGAACGGCGGTGACAACATTTTTAACATTAAAACGATGTTTGTGCTATAAAAATAAATCAAAATAAAATTATCCTTAACTAATTGTTTATTTTTTTGAAATCTTATGTTTTGCTTTAAAAAAATCCCCAAAAATATGGATATTTCCCGCTTTCTGTCAGCATTAACCTACACAGAGGACGCACTAATGACTATTTTTCCTCAACACAAGTGAAGATACAAATTTTCGAAATAAGATTTTCTTTGAAAACTCTAGTAGGTACTTTATTTTTTAATCAGCATTTGGTAAATGATCGAGGGAACATTTAACCAAGCCAGGCGATGTCTGATGTTAATTTGTTACGCCTCGAAACGTTTTGTGACGTAAAATTTGATTAAACTTACCCTTCTCGAAGCACGCGCGTTAAAACAACCAGAAAAGACGACGGCGCCAAGCGTCCAAAATAGAACCTCACTTCCGTAATCGTGGGGTAAAGCAAGAGGTCGTTGGAGTTCCGTGACGCTCACGACACGTGCTTATTTCTACTTTAATATTCTCCAAACAGATAGCCGAAAGGTCTGGAGCGTTACGTCGATTCCTCAGCGTTTATTGAAACTTCCAAAATTGTTTCTGAACTTGATAAGATGTAAAGCTACAGTCCCTTTACGACAAATTTACGATTTTTGTTACTTAAACTGTCAGCAATATAACTTTCTGCAATTGTGGCTGATTTCCACCCACCATGTCTCCTAATTGCTGATACATCAACTCCTGTATTAGCCAGTAATGTTGCCGATGTTCTTCGGAATGAATGGCCTGTATATGTCTCAGGATGTTATAGTTTCAAAAACTGTGCAATCTTATTAGGAATCAGAAATCCACTGAAACCAATTTACGAATCGGTAAAAGGAAATTGTGCAAATCCTGTAATTGAAAATGTGTATAATTGGCTGCAGCGATAAAATTTGCATGTAATATTTTGCTCGTGTCTAGATAAACATATGTAGAGACATGCGTTTGGAAATAACAACCAGAGGCGACATACACGTTTGTTATCTTTAACCGTACAACCTTTGTTGGAGATTATTAGTTAAAACCGAAAGTGATTTTAAATGTTTAATAAATAATTTATCGGTCGTGCGAGGTGCGCGAGCAAAGACGGCGTGTGTAATCTCTAAAACACTATTAAAATTAATGGGGTCCAAATGGGGTCACGTCTCTAATAATTTAAGTTTCTCAAAAGCAAGTTTTGTCGAAGGATTTTTCTTTTGCAGGTTTCTGTGTCTACGTGTTTCATACGAGTGTTTCGATTTGATTGATTGATTGATTTTCTTTAACTTTAAATGAGACATAATCAATTTTTATGTCTGTTTAACAGCACCAGGAAAATTTTTGGATATCATTGCAAATTAACCGGAGATCAGTACACGGAAGACACAATCTACTGCATCCACATCATCTCCGAGAAATTCAGCAGTTATTACCTCGAAACTCAGAGCTTCTATCAGTGTGCCCTTTGCCCTTCCTTCAATTTTCATAAAAAAAATGTGTGCTGATCTCGCTTTACCTATGGCGTACCTTTCGAAGGAAATTAATCGAAACGCACTAACGACGGGGGCCCCTCGTAGGTCGCGATCTGACGTCAGCCCTTGGTGGGCGACGTCCTCACCAAAAGCGCTGCCCACCAGGTGGCCGAGGACTCCATTTATGAAGAAGTAAGCGGCGAGCGGCTCACCTGACTCCGTGGGCAGCGGCACGGCCTAAATAGGTACGCTGCGTAACTCACCGGGTCTTGGAGATTTACGGAAAGACAGGTAGAGAGACGATAAACTTCTTGTTTGTGGTCGTTGCTGGCGCCGCACGTCTAAGCCGACACGGAGGGGTGGCGGGGGGTTGAAACGTCGGGCGAGATTTTTGCGGTATCTGCATGGGGGGAAAGATGCCAGGGATGCATAAAAATGTATGAAAGCCTTGGCACAGCCTTTCAGGATGGATTCTACTGGTAAAAAATAATAAAAAAAAAAATTCAAGTAGAACACTAGTTTTGACAACGTTTTTATGTACATATTTTTTTTTTAAATATTTAACTTACTACTTTTTAACACAATAAATTGACTATAAGGAGGTTTCACTATCACGACATTATATTGAAAATAACAATTTTAGATATTTTAGCAATAATTCGGAACAGTTTTCGAAAAAATATTGTTTCATTGTAATTTGTGAAGTCGTTTTTACATATTCGTATGGTTTTTTACTCGTTTCTGCTTGCAGAAATACATTCTCAAATACAAATAAGTGTAATATCCGGCAATTTACAATAAAATACGAACTATTAAGAAGTAGAATACTTAGTATACTGTGCCTCATAAAATGATGGAACAAAATTCATATTTTTTCGCTGAAAGAGATCAATTAGTAAGTAGAAATAGTCGCTTTTCCTTATAGTCCAGTCGATTAAGGCGAAAATAAGGTAAAAGCTCCCAATTTTTTCGGATAGCATGGATTTTCCTGAAAATTTGCAGACAAGCTCATCTGACCCCCCACTCCAAAAGTTATATTGTCTAGTTGTGTGCTTTTTTCTATTTGGGGGTGAAAACTACCCTCGTACGAAAAAAATGCGAAAATCGCAGATTTACTTATTTTAAAGATTCAATTCATGTTCAAATATGTTGGATAATGTTCCTTTCATGTTGTTTAATATAATTTATGAAATTTAATTACTTTTCAACCCTTAAAAACCCTTAAAAACTAACCTTCCGTGGCAAAAAAACTAGAAAAAAAAAGTTTTTAACAGTTTAAAATATCCTTTTGGTACATTCACAATGTATTGCATTTCATTTGAATGATTGCTTATAATAAAATAAACAAAAAAAATATTATTGAAAGCTTGAGATGTTTTAATGGTATGCATATATGTTGAATTATAAACTTTTTATTGGTTTTCGAATGATCTATGATATATTGGAACTTTTCAGCCGCCAAAAAACCCTTATGGAAGACCTACCCATCATAAAAAGCCCTATCCCTTATAGAATATATAATTAATTTTTTTTCCATAACTTTTGTAATTTTAAAGTTAAAAATTTACTAAAAAAACATTTTGTAGGGAATTTAAAGCACTTTAAGTTCTGTGATTTGCAGTTTTTCTGATCCCTTAGTTTTTTAGATTTGTAAGCTAAAAGGGCTCAGGAAAGGCAGTCTTGCAGCTTAGTTTTGAGCCTCTAACGATCATAACTCAGTCAATTTTTGTCCTACAAAAATTTAAAAAAGCAAATTGTATCAGTAAGAAAAAACCTACAATTTCTTATTCTATAATTTTTTAAAACTTTGTTAGTTTTTGAAATATTTTGAAAAGAGGCGATTTTTTAAAAAACTTAAAAATTTTATTCAAAAGTAACAAACTTTTTTTTAAATTTAGGCTTCTAAAATCGTTCAAATTCCCAGAATCTACTGTAATACATAAATAAAGTAAATTGCAGAAGGAATACGTTTAATTTTTTTTTCGTCGTCATTAATTTTAATACCGATTTTTTTTTCTCAAAAATCAAGACAATCATTTTATTTTGATTGTAACTTCGTTAGTTTTCATGCTAATGACTTCTGTCACCACTCAATTTAAAGGTCTTTTCAAGAACTTTAATAACCAAGTGTTAATAAGTTTTCCTCGAAAACCTTTAATTTTTCCGCTACAAGACGTTGAACGTTTCGACTATAGCCATCTTCGAAATTAACTTCAAATTTTGGGAGTCATAACTCGGGTTCTATACCACCTACAAAAATAAAAAAGCAATCTCTTTGCTATTTAATTACTTTCATTTTTGCTTATGATCATTTTTTTTGATAAAACTTTCAGTTCTTGAGATATTCGCGAAAAATTACTCAAAAACATGCATTTTTTGGGCTAAAAACGAACATGTTTAGGCGCAAATAACTCAAAAAGTATTGACTGTACAAAAAATTCTTATAGAACATCTAATGAGTGAGGATTTTCAGTAATAGCGAGCATCATCACAAACAAATTTGAATTTTGTTTCATCATTTTGGGACACACAGTATATTAGCAACGTCGCTGTTTGCTGTTACACCTTGTATAAATCTCGCGTCAACAATCGTGTAATATTTTTCAGGAAATCAATGAAATAGCCATTTTCTTGCCCTTTGAACTGCACCCGAAGATGCGCCCCTGCCAAATCGCAGTCAAAGCTCAGTTGCGATCGCTTTTATCAGAACAATCTTTTACGACAAATAGTGAACCTACAAAGTAAAAGTTGGAGCCGATCCAAAAGATATCGCATTGTGTTTGTATTTACATGAAGCAAAGTTATTTAATAGACATTAAACGAGGGTGGGGGGGGGACGAGAAGCAGAAACCTTTCGTCACGCAGAACGTCCCGAAAGGATAAACGGGATTTGAAAACGCCGCCCGATCGCTCGCCTCAAGACAGCCCTCGGATGAAATTTTATACAGAAACAGTAATATTACATTCTAAAGGAATCCGCGCCCCCTTATAAGGCAAATCCGGACGGCGCATGGCCCGGTTAGAGCTGCGCACGCGCCCTGGTCGCCCCCCGACGCTGCCAGACACAGTCCCTCTCCGATCACCGCGAAACGTTCAGTTCAGTTTGATTTTAAGGTTGAGTGAGTGCGTCGGACTGTGGCATCGTTACATGTTGATCACCACAAACAAACTCTGAATTTCGTGTTCGGTGAACAGAATACAGTTGAAACATGTGCGACCAAAGCGCGGCATCGACGCAAAGCATCGCGGACTACCTGGCCCAGCTACTAAAAGACAGGAAGCAGTTGGCGGCGTTCCCCAATGTTTTCATCCACGTCGAACGACTCTTGGACGAAGGTAAGCGGTCGGTTTTTGTTCCCGAGGCTGGTTTACGACGGCGACGGCACCGTTCCGTGGTCGGGTTGGGGTTCCTACGAACCCGGACCGAATTACGAGTGATATCATTAACATGTGATGGGGCAGTGACGTATTCTGTTGACCCAAACGGTGTCCGAACGCTCGCTTGTTTTCCGTGGTCCACCCGCCATCCTACCCCGTCTATTTGTTTACCCCACAGGGCGAATTGCGCTGGAAATAGCCCTGTGGAGCGTTGAGGTTATACGTCTTTCGCGAAATTCCAATGGTACTCGCTCGGGAAAGGCGTGGTTTCACGCAACAATGCTCCGCATCGGTATGTAGGTAACTCGGGTCTCGCTGAGAGACGTTGTTTGAAAATCAGGCTGGGTCACATCGCAGAACGTGAATATTGATTGTATTCTCTCGTAATTTTGTACGTAATTATCGGCTATTATTTGTAATGGATTGCGTACCGTCGCCGCCGTGTGTCATTTACCATTTTTAGAACTAGTATATCAACATAGTGATGTCATTTCTTGTCGATTTCGAGATTTTTAAAACGGACAGCGAGTGGGCGGGCTTGTCCTTCGGATGCACTTGTTGAATACGGCGGTTTCTCACCCCTTATCGGGGACGCGCAACAGGTAGTAGCAGTCACGCATCGAGGCTAGGGGAGGGCGGCAGCGCGTGCAGGTAGAAAGGTATTTGTCGCAGATAAATTCTGGCGATTTCGATACTGGCTGATATTCGGATGTTCCCGATCCAATTCAATCGTCTGATTGGAGAAATTTTAACAAGGCGTGACTGATAGTCGTTAATTATCACATTGGCGTTTTTTAAATCCGCGAAAAGTTGGGGAAAACCATCGTATGATTCCCCAAAGTCGCCTGGTGAAATTTTGATGGGATTGGAAGCGTTTATAATTAGTTGTTTTTAAGTAGTAAATCACAACGCTGATAACTACACAAGTGTAATTGCAGCGAGCGTAGATAAAGCTTGTTGACTGACTGTATTATCCCCCCCCCCATTGGAATTGATTGTGTCTACCGTGGAATCTTTGTAATTACCACATTTTATCGCACATTTAAAAACAACTTGGATGACACTGCTAGCAGAAATAGACGCAAAAATATTGCTTATTTTCCGTCATCGCTAAAGTTGTAAATTTTTCTTCTTAGAACTATTAAATAACTAAGTGCTCCTTATTCTATTTATGTACTTATTAATTGAAATTGCATCCTTAACGAAAAATAAACATCTTACTGTACCTACGAGCCTTTCTTGACATTTGCAGAGCTGTTGGAAGCCTTCCAAAAAAATTCCTACGTGAAAAAGCAAATGTGAGCTGCGAATTCACGTTATCAGTTTTATTTTAGTATAAAAGTAAATAAGGTTTTACGTAGGTGGGTACTTAGATATGTTTTTAGGTTCAAACAGAAATATACACGGCGCATAGTTTTCTCTCGGTTCTATTTTCTTCAGTTGCGAGATAGAACGTCTTTGTTATTAAAATATGTCAACCCGATAAAATAAATTTAACTCTGCCGCAAATACGCTTAGGATATGATATACGACTGGTTGTGGAACAATGTGGTAATCCATTTGTTCTATTTTTAGGTGGCAGTTTAAACAAACTTCATCGAGAAGTTGAAACGGCGGTTCACTCGGGCTGTTTGGTTTCGGTGTGGCTGAAAAATTAGTAGGTTTGAAGAGCGATCTTTGGATGTAAAAAGAATCAAGCTTTAGGCGTTTAGGGTGTTGTTGCTGTTACTGTAAACATCGTTTTTGGGTTCAAAAATTGATGGGTAATTTTCTTTTATGTCTTCGAATAAACGAGGTTCAAAACGTTTATAAATCTCTTAAATTTGTGTGTCTAAAAATTGCTGGAAAAATATGCTATATCCAAATATTTATCTAAGATTAACAGGAACTGAGATTCCTGCAATATTCATCCTCATCCTGTCTAGCTCTCAGGGTCTTTAAAGTTTGAATTTGGAACAATTTTCTCGAGACTAAGAGAAACCCAAGTATATTGACTTTCATCTACTTTGTCACTATAGTCCAATTAAATGGGCTTTTATATCGCTATTTTGATCAACTTTTCTGAATTTTTGATATATGTTAGTTTGGGGTATGCAATAACAATGAGTGACCGAGGTAAAAAAAGGATAAAATACAGGGGTTCTTCAAGATAGTTTAAAAGGGTAAGAGCTAGAAAAAAAAGTTTGTGATAAAAGTTGTATAGCATAAAATTCTACATAAAAATGGCCTATTGACTTTTTCTTGTACTGTTAAAATTAACGGATTTAGGGAGACTAGAAGTTGTAGGATGATTTCAGACATTTAAAAAATTACAAGCAAAATAAGCGAGCGGTTCACCCCTAAGGAAAAGGCATGAACCGACTAAATTTTTAAAAGGAAAACCTACAGCATGAAACTTTTTTATTTTATAGTGTATTTTTCTGATAATTTACATATATTTTTTTTATATTTTTCGGCGTGGTCAGTCAATTTTATAAAAAAAGTGGTAAAAAAAATTACTCGTCGAATGGCTTTGTCAGTTTTTATTGTAAAATTGATCAAAATAAACATGTAAATAACTTGTTTTTTCACAAAAATTCGAAAAATGCTTCGTTTACGAGATATTTACAATTTAATGTGAAAAAAGTGACGAAATCGACAAATTTCCGGAATTTTTTTCTCAAACTACTGAACAGATTTTAATTCTATTTGTAGCCTGCTTCCATTTACTTGTTTGCCATTTTGATTTTCTTTAAAAGACTTTTTTTTACTCGCTTTAGAAATTCAATAAAATAATTGACCTATACCAAAAAAATATATCTTAAAGTAGAAGATCTGTTCAGTAGTTTTTGAGAAAAAAATTACTAAAGTTTGTCGATTTCGTCACTTCACATTAAATTGTAAATATCTCGGAAACGAAGCATTTTTCGAATTTTTGTCAAAGAACAAAACGTGTTTATTTTGGTCCATTTCACGATTAAAAACTGTTTTCAAAGCCATTCGGCGAGTAATTATTTTTTTACAACTTTTTTGTTTATAACAATTGACTGACCACGCATATAAAAAAAATATGTAAATTATCAGAAAAATACACTATAAAATAAAAAAAGTTTTATGATGTAGGTTTTTGTTTTAAAAATTTAGTCGGTTACCTTCATTTAGAAGCATCTTTTTAGGGGTGAACCGCTCTCCTAGAAAAATGAATGAATTTTATAATTTTTTTTCATCTACTCTAAAAAATGTAAACTATCTTTTCAGAGAAATAGATATATTTTTTAATTTTAAAAAAAAAGGTTATAACGAACTAAGCGAACGTGATTTTTTATGTTTTTCGTAAAACAAAATTTCGAAAGCCACTTTTCATTATTTTAAATGATCAATCGAATGGCATAGAAAAAATTGTTTTAGTGTTAAACGACAAAAATCAACGCTTAAAAAACTGAGATTGTTATAACTGTTTTGTTAAAAATTAAAAAACATCCATTTCTCTGATAAGAAAGTTTACATTTTTTAGAGTAGATTGACAAAAATAAAACAAAATTCATTCATTTTTCTGCTTGTTCCGATTTTTTAAATTTCTGAGATCATCCCTGAACTTCTAGCCCCCCTAACTCTGTTAATTTTAACAGTACAAGAAAAAGTCTATAGTCCATTTTTATGTAGAATTTTATGCTCTACAACTTTTATACGAAACTTTTTTTTCTTACTCTAACCCCCTTTTGATTTATCTTGAAAAACCTCTTTATTTTATTCTTTCTCACCCCTGATCAGGGGTTGAAAAAAAATTACTGTCACTTATTGTTATCATATACCTCAAACTATCTTATATCAAAAATTCAGGCGAGTTGATCAAAATTGCGATTTAAAGACCCATTTAATTGGACTGCTAGCTTACATTAACTTCATAACCAGAACATGGTTCAGTTCAGATGGATCCAATCCAATTTAATTTATCCAAAATGATGCATGTTGAAAAATATATTCACATATTTTTAGTAATATACAAAATTATTCAGCTCACTATGTTGTAACAGACTTGTTTGTAGTGACTGGTATTATAAACAACGTTTTATTTACTCGTTTGTTTTAAATATTTGAATAATACGTATTTCTTGTTTGATTTTAAATTAATATGCGTTGAGTCACAATTAGTAAATCGAAATTTCACATGACCGGTTTTGAAATCACCCAGTAGACGATGGCGTCGTATTATAATACTAGAAGGCTTGTTTTTTGTACTTGTGATTTATTTTATTGTTTCACGATTCAGTAACTTGTTAATTGATAAACTTAATACAGGATTGTAATACTTTTTTCTTGATTTCCTGGCGAGAATTTGTTTTTTCTCAAAGTTCCAACAGGGAATACTCAAAATTTTCGATTTTTTTAGTGACCTGTCCTCAGAACTCGAAGAATCAGTGACGTAAAATTTTTTTCTCGGTAAATACACTATAACATGCTGTCCATCTTTAGAAAATAAAACTAGGAACATAGAATAGAAGAAAATAATAAAATGAGTGAACTAGGAGATCCGAAAACGCTAATAATAAGCGATAAAATCTACAGATCTGAACTAAGTTTAATTTTAATCATCTTGTAACTGTTTTTAAAACACCCCGTACATTTTTATATTCCATTTAAATTTTTTTATCAGCGCAGTCGCTCCCCCCCCACGACATGTCGAAACGGGGTATACGCTTAGCCGCCGCGCCACTTCGGAACGAACTATACCCCCGGGGCTGTCCACCATGTGGTACACTTTTTCGCGTCTTAACCATAACATTGCCCTATTAAGAGGCCGAAAATTCACCGTTTCGGTGAGGTCAGTTGGTCGGAAATCTCGTCGTCGCAAAAGACCAGACCTACCGGTTGTGATGGGTCGGCATTCCACTTGTCCCCCCCTGACGAGATGACTCGAGGAATTCTTGCGGCTCGTCTGCTAATTGTGCGCGGTACCTTCGAAAAAAAAATGTAGGATT